ACATCAAATAAGACTTCATTACTTCTTGGAGACATTTCGGTTATATCTTTTTTGCATATTATAACTGATAGGAATAAAATAAATCTTAAGAAAAGTAATATTTGCAACATGTCTTGAAATCATTTTCTTATTCTTTGAAGGTTTCATCTTATTATTTATAGGTAAGACAACAATTAAAATCACAAGTGGAAGATCATCATCAATTACAAATTTGTGAAGATTGTGCAAGTCTTGGATTTCTAACATATAATTTAAGAGTCATTTATAACATTATCCCTAAAAGAAAACAGAATTCTAGTTGGAACGAGCATGTAATATTTCATTTTCGTTAGGTGGGTGAACTCCCCTATATAGTTTGATTCTTCCACCTACTAACCATGCATTTATTTGAACACGTTATTGTTAGAACAAGAACCATGAACCAGCCTTTCCACGAATGTTACATTAGCCAATAACAGAGACCTTCCTCTAAGCTAAACGAAAATAAAAATAGTTGGAAATCAACATTCCTTGATGATAATGAAGTTTAGGTGAATGGCATGTTTGTATTGTCAAACAGCTTCGAATTAATACAGTGGACTTTAATTTTTATGTTAGTAAACTGGTTGGTGGATGATGATTGTGAGCCAGATATTCTTGTCCAGGAGTTGAAAGATTACAGATGCCTTATGGTTCAAGTTATTTGATTTCTTTGGTTAGGAGGGAGATAAAATAAACAAATTTTAGTATTTAAATCAGTCTTATATACCCTGTTGATCAATTCAAAAACTGGTAAAACCCATTGTTTGACCCAACTAAACTACCACCTAATGACTTCAGATTCAAAATATAAACATGTATTTCTACATTTTTCTGATGGGGTTAGGTTGAGTTTTGTTCACATAAATTTTAAAATCTGTTCTTTTTATAATATAATTGCAGGATGCATTTCAGTTTGGAAATCGTTTTCATTCTAGAAACCCATATTCATATTATTGATTGAAATAACCAGTTTTGAACACGAAGAGTACTATAAAATTATGTTTGGAAGCTTCTAGGGAATCAAACACAATCATATATTTTTATGTATATAGAGAGAGAACTATAATTGTGATAGTTCCATGTAAGTTGTAACTGAAGAATAAGGTTATGTGAACAGCTATGTCATTTGTTAGTTTTTTATTTCTGGGTCCATAATATCTCACATTTGCCAGACATGAGGAAATTTTAAGGATTGGACTTGTTTTTTGTCAGCACTGATCCTTGGAATTCCCACATCTTTTATATAAACATACATGACAAAATGTCCAATAATTCTATAATTGATTAAATTTTTAATATTTTATTATCATCAATTTCATTTTTAAAATTTTATTCGATTCAATTGAATCTTTCATTGAATGAAATCTAATTATGTAGTAAAATTAAATCAATCAATTTCTTTAATATTTTATTTTTATTCAATTAAATTTTTAATTGGATGAAATCTATATATGTGATAAAATTGAATCAATTAATTTTTAAATTATAATCAATTGAATCCTTAAATAAATCTTAGAGAGAGAGAAGAGAATAAAAAGAAAAAAAAAAGAGAATAAAATTTTATCTTAATTGATAAAAAATTAAGTGTTTTTTTTAATCTAAATAAATATTTAATTGAAAATAAATGAATATTAGAAAATTTGATTAAAAAATTTAGATAAATTTTTAATTATAATTCAAATGCTTTTAATATCTTTCAGCCTGTATATATAATTTTACTTCAACTGTCAAAATTCGCTCCTGAGCCTCCTCTCAGAAACCGGAATCAAAGTTAATGGATTTGAAACTGTGTTTTAGTAGTTGAAAACATATATATACATATATATATATATATATATGCGCATGTGTGACATCATAATGCTTCACATTTCTTTTATATCTATTTTTGGCTATGAAACTTGAAAAGATGCATGCTATGATGCTAAGCCATTTAGAGAAATTTCTGATTTGAAGCAGACTGAAATCAGACATTCTTTTTTCGTTTGTTCCTCCTGTAAACTATATATATATAGATATATATATATATATCGTATTCTAACATTTCTGCCCCTAAAATTGGCAGAATATATATGAATAACCTGATAATTGAACAAAACCGGTCATAAGCCTTCCAGCTAGCTAGGAGTTTCTGTTTGTCGGTAGAAAAAGTCAAACAATAATGTCAACTTTCTTTGTCTCTGTTTTCTGATCATATGGAAACATGGTTTTCAAGTTTACAGTCATGGTTTATAGATGAAGCTGTCATTCAAATCCTGAGACGATACAATACAGATCTGTTACTTGGCAGTAAAACAGCAACGATAGATTAATAATTTTTTGATCTGTTGATAAAATATTAAATTTTTAATTTTAATATCTAATATTTTAATCTTGACAACTAAAGATGGAATCCTGAGATTACAAAGTATATATGCAAGCTTGAAAATCACACAATTTTGATAAAAATGAGACTGCCATGCGCGTTTGAAGTTTGTGTGAACTCATAAGCTGCTTACCTCTTTTGCATTTCCGTTATATAAAATGCCATTGGGAAAGCAAAGCAATATCTCAATGCAATTCAATCCTTTTTTGCCATATGAACAGGGAGATGAATTTCTACCATCTAAGCCAATTGTCGGTCATAAGAGAGTTTATAATTCAAGCTTTGTCGAAAAGACATAATTATTCAACGTTGTTTCTAATGTGTAACCAAGAAAAAATAAGGGGGTTTACTCAACGATGTTGTGTTTGTGTTCGACAGAATCTGATCTCTTTGTGTTTGCAGGTTCCTTCCAAGTCACATCAACTACGAAAATTTTGCAGAACTAACCAAAAGTGTCAGTTGGATTTTATCCAATATCAATTATAATTTTTATATTTTTTATTATAAATAATTATTTAATAATAAATTGAATTTAATAAAATTATAATTAAAATATTATTCAAATTAAATTATTAAAAAATTTAATAATTTTAATAATATTTTATAAAAAATAAAAAGATTCATTTTAATTTTTTAATTTTTACTTATTAAAAATTAATTAATTTAATTATCAATTTTAAAAATAAAAAATTAATTGAATTAATTAATTTAATCAATTCAAAAAATTAATTATAATCAAAATTAAATAAATCAAATCAAATTAATTAAATTCACTTAATTTTAATCAATTTAATCAATTCAAATCCACTTTTACCCAGTAATCTTGAATCTTTCGTCACCTAAGCCCTTTCCAAATTTTTTTTTTTTAATGAAAAGAAACCCCTCCTACCCCAGAGTTCTCTTTTTCCTAAAGAAGATAATTAAAATTTCCAGCAGTCGATCAGTCATCAGTGAAAGCTGTAACTCCCTCCTTTCACCGTCCACACGCCGTTGACTCCCACCATCCCGCCCTGCCGTCAACTCCGCAACCCCATAAGGTCATTTCCCACTCGTTGTTCCAACATTTTATGTCCTAAAATAATGCCACTCTCTTTACACACTCTTTCTCGTTCTTTATTTATTTTTTAATTCTTAAGGTCAAACAAAATTTTTAAATATTTCTTTTAAATTAATTTTCTTAACATTTAATTAATATAATATTATCTTCAATTTTTTTATTCAGTGATTAAAAAATTTAAAGAAAACATATAAAATATAAATTCGATCTCAATCATCCCATTTTCTTTAATGTAATCTTGTAGAACAAAAAAAGCAAAGAGGAATAGGTGGGACTCGCCTTCCGACTCAAGCAACAATCAAAATCGGAATGATGAAATAGGCAGTGAAATCAAGAAGAGGAAGTCCCGGTGGGCAGATGATGAGCCAAAGTCCCTAATTCAATTCCCTGATTTCATGAAAGATTTTATTGGAAGTATCCAATTTGACCCTAAAATTCAAACTTTGAATAGTACGTTGCTAGAGATTAAAATGATGTTGCAATTGGATTGCTTTTGGATGATAGACTTGAGGGAGCTAGGTCTCATTCACTTGAACCTTCAAAGAATAGGGATTTGCATGTTTTAGTTCAAGATGAAACACAAGAATCGCTTGATGTTGCTGCAGCAATGTTGGCAAAACTCTTATAGCCCGTTGATGAAATATTGAATGAGCATAAGAGGTTTGACTTTTGTTTTTCTTTTTATTTTCTTTAAAGATACTTATACAAAATTTAAAAAAAAAATCATACAAAGTTTAAAACAATCCAAACTTAAAATTACCAAATTTGAATCCATTTTGTCACATCTACTAATCATTAATAGTAAGCATTTTAGGAAAGGCTTACATTTAATCACTGAACAAGTGATTCACTTTAAAATAAGTGTATCCCTATTGCCTAGTGATTCAATTTGATTTTCCAATTTCAATCAAATTCAAAATTTCAAATTTGTTTGAACATTTTATATCTTTTCTCCCAATCTCTACAGGATTAATATACTGTTATTGTTTTTAAAAATGATATTGAAATATTGATTCACCGAAAAATGTAAGAAAATATTTAAAAAAATAGAATTTCTAAACGATGAGCATAACGAAGGAATTTGCCCCTTATTCCAGTCCTTGGTCTCTATGTGTTAATTTCCTTATCTTTCTTTTACTACTACATCATAGCTCACAATTTCCCCTCCAAAGAAATCAAATTGTATAAACGCGTGAAGCAAAACACCTTATAATTTCTTTTCAAGTATCTAACTTATAATTTATTAATAATAAGTAAAAAATATTTAACTTAAATATAAAATTATAGTTAATTTAAAAATTAATAAATATAAAATAATAACACTCAATATGCCTTCATCATATGACAAATTTAGAAGTTGAATATAAAATTATAAATAATCTAAAATTCAATAGAAACAACAAGATAAATATGATTATAATAATATGTTAAGATTCAATTTAAAAAATAAAATAAATAAAAATTTTAATTTAAATATAAAATTATAAATAACTCAAGGCGTAACATAAAATATTAATTATTATTATATTCACAAAATAATGATAATTCTCTCATACGAAATCCAACATTATATAAATCTCTGCTCCCAGCCTTTGGTCCGTGCAATATTGTCCTTTTCTTTCCTTTCCCTTCTTTAGCTTTTACTACAGCTGCTCTCCGCGTTCTTGTCTTTTCCCTCAGATTCCCTCAGCGTTTCCTCTCCTACCCTTTATATTCAACTACTGTTTTTTTCCCCTTTAATAACTAAACCTTAATTTAACTCCTCCTTTCCAATCACATTAACTGTAACGAAGTATAATTAGTATTGTTGGATCAATGAGCGGCGGTTCTTTACCGACGCACGAGAGGCGGTGGGCCTCAGACACGGTTCCCGCCAAAACCATCCTCAGTTCTACTACGTCGCCGGGGACTGAATCCAACTCGGCGGAGGAGTTCGTCGAGGTCACTCTCGATCTACAAGACGATGACACCATAATCCTCCGAAGCGTCGAGCCGGCCACCTTCATCAACGTCGATGATGGAGCCGATACTCCGGCGTCCGCCTCAGCTTCCATTTCTCGATCCCCGACGATCAAGCGGAGCTCATCCAGTAGATTGAGACAGTTTTCACAAGAACTAAAAGCAGAAGCCGTGGCCAAAGCCAAGCAGTTCTCACACGAGTTAAACCGGATATTCTCGTGGAGCCACGGACACGCAGCTCAGGCTATAACTGGATTCGACTCAGCTTTAGCCGCTCGAGCTCTAAGAAAGCAGCGAGCTCAACTCGATCGGACTCGCTCCGGCGCTCAAAAAGCACTCCGCGGATTGAGGTTTATAAGTAACAATAAAGCCAATGCATGGGAAGAAGTTGAAAACAATTTCAACAAACTCGCCAAAGAGGGCTTTCTCCTTCGCTCCGATTTCGCACAATGCATAGGTTGTTCATTTCATCATCACAATTTCCTTTTCAAATCCAATTTTCTTAAACGCTTGGACTTGAATCTATCTTCTAACAGTATTCTTAATAACTTCTTTTCTTCATTGTGTACTGTTCTTCAAGGAATGAAGGACTCGAAGGAATTCGCGTTGGAGATGTTCGATGCATTGAGTAGACGAAGGAGATTAAAAGTTGAAAAAATCAGCAAAGATGAACTTTATGAATATTGGTCTCAAATCACCGATCAAAGTTTTGATTCTCGCCTCCAGATCTTCTTCGACATGTACGTATTATTAAACTACAATTAATTATTAATTAGTACTAATTTTTAATTAATCAACTTTTTTCCTTTGATTAATCCATTTTTCTTTTCTATCTTATTTCTAGGGTGGATAAGAATGAAGATGGTAGAATCACTGAGGCTGAAGTTAAAGAGGTAAACAAATTTTCTTCCAAATTTTTAATAAAATTGGATTAGGCAGCCACTTTAAACTAATTTTGTAATCCAACATGCATAAATTAGCCACAAATACTGTCCCTCTTGCTAATTTTTTTGAAAAAAAAAAAAATTAGGCCGCTGTTTCCTCGTCAACCAGGGATATTATAATCAACGGTAGGCGGGTATTGGGTGACCTTAAATAACAAGAAAATCTTTGGTTTCTGACTTTGAAAAATTTTTCAAGCATCTTAGCTATAATTGATTGATATATTCAAGGGTTTGGACAGATGGCACCTCTAATTTCTTCGAAATTTCATTTTTCCATGATCGTTTATTAATAACTTTTTAGTGGGGTTGGTAGGGGCATTTTGGTCTATATATAATTATAACTTTAATTAGTAAATATTAATATTAGTATTACAATTTTTATTTACCTTCTGGATATATAGATTATCATGCTAAGTGCTTCAGCGAACAAGCTATCGAGATTGAAGGAGCAGGCGGAAGAATATGCAGCTCTGATCATGGAAGAGTTGGACCCTGAAAGACTTGGATACATTGAGGTGGGTCCACTATTTTTATGGTACACTGATATTTCCATTACCAAACGTGTCCTCCTCTGCTTTTGGCATGATTATTTTCTCTTACTATAGTTTAATAAATTCTTAGGCAGTAAAAAAAGGATGTTATAGAATTTAATAAAGAAAGTTGAGATAATTGTACTATATTATTATTATTATTTTGCAGTGAGACTTCATTGTCAAATTAGGTTGCAACACTCAAATTAGTTTCCGTAAGATGTCCAATGGAGCAACATTGACTAGGAATTTTGCTATTATAAAAAAAAAAAGTAAATGAAACAACACCTCTTGGACTTTTCCTTCCAAAGTCTATTGTTAGGCGAAAAATGATCAAATCTTCCAACAATCCGGTTTTGGTTTTGTTCAACTGCGACGAAGAAAGGATGATCAAGCAATAATAACGAGCTTTTACTAGAGACAGCTCAACTTATCTTATGTTGGTAAACAGTAAATTACATTTGAGGTTGTTGACCAATTTTTAATACTTTCTTTCCGAGTCCGGGCCATGTAGCTTGAGCTCCATGGAGAGAAACAAATTGGTTGAATTAAGTTCCTTTCCGAAATTAATAGTACAACCCAAAATAGAGTAGCACTAGCTGGTATATTTTCCATTTTAATCTTTCAAATTGCAGGATTATCCATTGCATGGTTAACACATTTAATTTTCCATTTTTGCAAGTTGATATTTAATTTCTTTTGTTTTACTTGTCAAAGTTGTTGAGATAAAATTCCTGATCAGCAAAGCGTGTTGTCGTTATTTGGTCATAGACTGAAGGTGCCCATACCAACTCCATCCCAATCCATGATTGACCGTTTTGAACTGATGGTCCTGCCAAATGGCGGACCTGACATAGTTGGGTTCCATGTGACTTTTGCTTTCTCGTTTTTCCCCTCCAATACGCGTTCTCTTCACTCATTTAGGCATACACGCGTCCACCATTCTGCATCACTGATAGTGTAACGAGTTGACAGAATCAAGATAATCTTGTCCTTTGCATGACTCAAAATTTTCCTGATCGTTTAATATTTTCATTCCAATAATTATATGATTTGGTGGATGATGACGGATGAATATGATGCAGCTATGGCAATTGGAGACGCTTCTCTTGCAGAAGGACACGTATCTGAGCTACAGTCAAGCCTTAAGCTACACCAGCCAAGCCCTTAGCCAAAACTTACAAGGATTAAGAAACAAGAGCAGAATCAGAAGAATAAGCACTAAACTGCTGTACTATTTGGAAGAAAAATGGCAGAGGATATGGGTTGTGTCATTGTGGATCATGATTATGATAGGGCTCTTTACTTGGAAGTTCTTTCAATATAAACGGAATAGTGCTTTCCAGGTTATGGGTTACTGTCTCCTCACAGCCAAGGGAGCTGCTGAGACCCTGAAGTTTAACATGGCTCTTATCCTCTTGCCCGTGTGCAGAAACACCATTACTTGGCTCAGGTCTACCAAGCTTGGTCTCTTTGTGCCTTTTGACGACAATATCAACTTTCACAAGGTATGTATACTGTATGCCAACACCTTTTTCTCTGGTTTCTTTTTTTTTTATTTTGCTTCTCCTATACGTTTATCCTCTGGGTCTTAGGTGGGGACTTGATGATAGAAGTCAATATGATGGGCCCTAATAGATCGTTACCTGATAGTTTTGTTTGCACTTAAAACTGTGATGTTAAAGACTATTTATGTGGGGAGCATTACACGTTCACGCAGCAGAAGTTGACAACTAAACAGATCACTTTTTTTTTTTTTTGGTTGAAGAAATTAGGGGTACTATATTCTGATTAAACAGAAAAAGAAATTAGGGGTACCTTATTATACATGAAATTAAAACATGGTAGTTTTAATATTTTTTGGCGGTGACCAAAAGCATTGACTTAGACAAATAAACAAACAAAATTTTTTTTTTTTACTAACATATAACAGCAAGGAATTCGTTGAAATTAGGAGATGAATATTGGAAGCGAAAACTTGGTACACTGCTACTGGCCTACTGCTATCTAACAAAGGCTCGATTTGGTATAGCCACGATATGGGTTAAACGCTTCTCAAAATTGCTAAACCTGCATTTGCATAAGTCCTTGCCTCTTTTTGTACAGTAGAGACATGTTTTCTGGGTTACTCTTCTATTATCTCTTTCCTTTTCCAATTTTTCCTTCAACATCAAATTTTAGAAAAGAAGATAACGGGCATTTAATTACAGTATATTTACCAGATAGGTTACCTTAGGCCAGCTAGATGAGATGGGAAGAGAAATAGGAGCTTTAATGAAAAATTAAAACGACAAATTCACCGATTAATGATCATGAATGTGGTCTTCTAAAAGCCAATCTTATGCGTTCTTGAGTTCCTATGGAAGAAGATTCTCTTGTGTCCCAATAGCGTGGCATTTTCCGAGTTTAACGTGGACAGTTCGTCGTTACTTCCTAGATTGACAAAAGTGCCCCCATAGATTACAAGTAACAGCTCTAGAACACTGGATCATGTTGTCTTATGAGTTATGATTAAGAAACAACTGCTTAATCCATCAGTTGCATCATTTCTCCTGTAGATAATGGAATTGTAGCTGAAAAGGTTATGAAGAATGTATTCTTTGAATGCACTTCAGTCCCTGGAATCAAACCTGACATATATATTATATACATATGCAGAATGAATATTGGATACAAGGTTTTCATGCGCTCCCTTTTTTTCTGTACCTCAATTAACCATGTTCTCTAGTTAAAAACAATTCAAGCATTGGCAAATTAGCCCATAAAGAAAAGCGAAATGGATGCATCACATAATAACATTGCTACTTGTTACTGAAGTCAGTTATTAAAGTTTGAAAGTTGTTCATGATTCCCATCCAATTAAATCATTTTTTATCCTCTCTGTTCATCTCATTGAATTTGTGCAGACAATAGCTGCAGCGATTGTTATTGGAATCATTCTCCATGGTGGGAACCATCTTGCCTGTGATTTTCCGAGGCTAATCAAGTCTAATACTGATTACTATGATAAGTTTCTAATCAATGACTTTGGAAGTCATAAACCAACGTACATTGACCTGGTAAAAGGGCCTGAAGGAGTGACCGGAATTTTAATGGTTATCTGCATGGCAATTGCATTTACACTAGCGACCAAATGGTTTAGGAGGAACCTGATTAAGCTGCCCAAGCCCTTTGATAGAATCACTGGCTTCAATGCTTTCTGGTACTCACATCACCTGTTTGTCATTGTCTACATCTTGCTCATCATCCATGGCGTATTCCTTTATCTCGTGCACATATGGTACCGTAAGACGGTATATATTTAAATCTTCTTTTCTCAAGTGATTGCAGAAATTCTAACAGCAGGATATTTTTAAAGTAACTGTAGTTTAAGGTATGGAATTCCTGGTTGCAGACTTGGATGTATCTAGCTGTTCCAGTTTTCTTATATGCTGGAGAAAGGACCCTGCGATTTTTCCGTTCTGGTTTCTATACTGTCCGGCTTTTGAAGGTACGAAACTAATCATAACTCTGTTAACTATGATTCAGTATGGACAACAAGTTCCATTATTAATTAGAAACTGCTCAAAGAAAAAGGGTGGAGAATAAAAAGGAGAAACATTTAATGAGACCAATTAACTAGCAAGCACAATCTCAAGAATTTTTAAGTGAGGCTGATCAATTAACTAAATTTGCTACTCTTTGTGATCCTTTTCTGATGGACCCTGAATTTAGGTCTAAATCCACGTTGCTCTGTTTTTTGACTGATGATCTGCATTGTCAATACATAGGTTGCAATTTATCCAGGAGGTGTTCTCACATTACAAATGTCTAAGCCACTTCAATTTCGGTACAAGAGTGGACAGTACATGTTTGTCCAGTGCCCTGTCATCTCTCCCTTTGAATGGTAAGTAAAAAATTTAAAGCATATATAATGTTTTAGGGATGATTTCAGCTGTTTGACTTCCCCTGATGCTACTAAATTGTTTTCAGGATTTCTGGAATAATATATCTAGAATCCAGAGATAAATCCATAATAGAAGAGAATGAAAATGGACATTAGTTAGATCTGAAGCCAATTAACTTTGCTGTCAATAATAGCCCTTTTATATGAATAGAACAAGGTTCAACATTATTGATTGCTTTGTAAGAATGAAAAGGAAGTTTAAAATACTAAAAGTTGCAATAGTTGCAATCCTAAATCAGTTTTGAGGTGGTAATTGAATTGATCGAGAGAGCAGGGGTGTATGATTTGCATTCTGCAAGTTCTTTCACAATTCATGAGCATTTTTTTTGTGAACCAGGCATCCATTTTCCATAACCTCTGCTCCTGGTGATGACTACCTTAGTGTACATATCCGTCAGCTAGGTGACTGGACCCAAGAGCTCAAACGGCTTTTCTCAGAGGTTTGTGAACCTCCTGTAGCTGGAAAGAGTGGGCTCCTCAGGGCTGATGAGACAACTAAGAAAAGGTATATCTATTTGGCTTCTATTAATATTCAACATTTTCTCTCTTGTTTTAGAAGCATTTAGAATCTTTAGGAATTATTGAGTATTTCTGGGTGATCCTTGATATTCTTGTCCGAAGAACAGTTTGCCAAAGCTCTTAATAGATGGGCCATATGGTGCCCCGGCACAAGACTATTGGAAGTATGATGTCCTGTTACTTGTGGGCCTTGGAATTGGTGCAACACCATTTATCAGCATTTTAAAAGATTTGCTTAACAACATTGTCAAAATGGAGGAGCACGCAGTAAGTAACTCATGCTAAGTTAATGATTCTGCTTTCTTATTCTTTTCTTTGGTTAAGTCATGGTTTTTACAATGTTTCCTTCAGATTCATAGTAATGCTTCTTCATTTTCAGGATTCCGTCAATGATACCAGTAGGACATCAGACCTAAGTATTGGGAGCACTGATTCAATCACTGCCAACAGAGTTTCACCAAAACTAAAGAAAACTCTTAAGACAACCAATGCATATTTTTATTGGGTAACCAGGGAGCAAGGTTCATTTGATTGGTTCAAAGGGGTCATGAATGAAGTTGCCGAACTTGATCAAAGGGTAAAAGAATTAATCAACTTAAAAGTTTTTAATTTAAAATTTTCTTAGAATACTTTAACTGTTACTAACTTGTCACTTTGAACACTAGGGTGTCATTGAAATGCACAACTATTTGACTAGCGTGTATGAGGAAGGAGATGCACGTTCAGCTCTCATAACTATGGTCCAAGCACTAAATCATGCCAAGAATGGAGTTGACGTCGTTTCTGGCACCAGGGTAAGATCCTTTTTGTCTATCATTTTCATTCTCTTAGCACATTTCACTAAGTAATTGTCTTATAGGGTTCTGAACATCATATACAAAATCTTTGTGAAATGAGACTCTGCAATCTGTCTGTCACAAATTCCTGCTGGAGATCATGGGTGGCTCCCATGCATTAACAACAGCACGCCTGTTATAAATTTTAAACATAATAAAAACTCCTCTCTGCCATTATCAGGTGCGGACCCATTTTGCAAGGCCTAAATGGAAGAACGTTCTCTCTAAACTAAGTTCCAAGCACTGCAATGCAAGGATAGGTGAGCCCGATTCTGTTTAAGCAAATGGAAATGACAAGCTTATCTATATTATTCTGATGTTGTTGTGGTGGTTTTAATGTGGTGGAGCAGGAGTCTTTTACTGCGGGGCACCGGTTTTGGCTAAAGAACTCAGCAAACTCTGCTCCGAGTTCAACCAAAAAGGTTCAACTAAATTTGAATTTCACAAGGAGCATTTCTGAAGAGAAGTACCATGGTAGTAAATAGAAATACTTTATGTTTACCTTGCCCTAACTCCTTTTTTATCTAGAGAAATAAGAATTTTTGCAATAAACCAAGACAACAGGAATCTCCGTACAGTATTAGAACAGAAAAAGGAGAGGAAAAAGAAAAGAAAAGAAAAAAAATCTAATATATTTCATTTAGGTCCTCTATCGTTGAACGGTGAATACCCACACAAAAAAAGGATGAAAAAAAATATGGCTTTGGGAATTGAAAGGTGAACCACTTCATTGCTCACGTGGCGCAAGTGTTTGGCGAGCAAGATCAGAGAAGAGGGAGGTGTGCGGTACAGCTGGCAATGAAGAGGTTGTGGCCAGGCATGATTGGTGGAGACATTCATAGTCATAATACAATTTTGAAAAGCCGAGGGCTGTGGGGGATGGGTTGGATTTGGACGGATTTTTTTTTTTTATCTTTTTGAAATTTCCAATTTCATTCGGCAGAATCCTTCTAGAATGCTGATGCTAATGATGAAGATTTTAAGCAAGCTCTTATTCATTACGCGTGTTTACAATAAGGATCAGGTTGTAAATGAATGACGTTCACACTTTTTGTCAGTTAAATCTTATGCAGCTTCGAGGGAGGGTTTTTTTTTTTTTTTTCTTTTTAGTTCTTAGTGCAAATGTAAATGAGTACGATCAGTTATAATATCATCATCTCAATTGATTTCTTTTCTTCTTTCATATATTTCTATCAAACAATTTTCTAGTTTTCCATCAGCTGAGTTTGATATAATCACAACCCTTTTTTTAAAATTATTTCTGTATATATAATATAATTATTAGATTGTAATTACAGCCCAGCAAAAGCCTTGATCCGCCGAGCCCGTTTGCTTTCTCTTACGAGTAAACCTTTTTTTCCCTATTGGCCTCTAATTATTAGCTGACAAGGGTAGGGAGGCCCCCACGATTATAAACGGAATATCCAGCCCACAGATTAGATAAGCCTTAATCAGCCCAATGAAAAGTTGAGAGAGCCTCCAGAGTCCGGGCTCCAGAAGACCCGGTTCCTCAATGGTTTATTTTATTGCTCTGGATGAGGTTGCAAATTACAATGACGATAAAAGCATTTATACTGAGTACATTTATATGACCGCGTGATGGCTCACAAATCTATCTGATTTTGATGTTTATTGTCATAAATAAAATTTAAATTATAATAAAATATTTATATGATATTTAAATTTAAAATTTTTTTAATATGATATTTAAATTATAAATCTTTTAATTAATATGATATTTGAAAAATTATTTATTCCTAAAAAACTAATCAAATTAAAAGTAAATATCATTTTAATTAATAAATTTATAATTTAAATATCATATTAAAAAATTTTAAAATTTAAATAATATATTAAATATTTCATTACAATTTAAAAACTATTCATGAAAATAACAATCAAGATTAGATAAATTAAAAAAAAATGTATGCTATAACTGACAAAATATTTTGAATTCTGCATAGATATATACTCAAAATATATCATCCCAACTCTTCGATTTAGTGATTGCAAAACTCCTAAAAAAATATAAATCTTAATTTCGAATAAAAGCTTCTCTCCTTTCTCACGGGCTATGTCACATGTTTCAAGGAGGGCATACCCCCGTCAAGCAAAGTAGATTTTATTCTCAAGCTACGCGTGAAAATGGATTCACTTTCATCGTCAAGTAATTTTCTTGAACAGTCAGTCATCTAGAAAGAGAAGACCCCGTCCATCAAGTCCTCCCTAAAATGAAATTCACAAACCCCAAGTTGGCTTGTAATATGCTGTTTTATTTGACTAGACCAAGCCATTTTGTCCAATTCTATTTGTTTCAAAACTGAAAATTTCTTACACAATACATAGAGTTGAATCAGCAATCTTTCATCACTTAAATATCAATGTTTCAATCGTGTCTATAAATAACAGCCAAAGCTTTGCCTTTGAGAAAACACAACCTGTCCAGCCTAGTCAAAAACTTGAAGAAAAAGAATTTTCCTTCAGGAGCAATCAAAATGAAAGGAGAAGGAAAGCGAAGTAAAGCAAGATGCTTGGCATATGTTGCTGCATTTGTTGTGTTTCAGACAGCAATCATCTTGATATTTGCACTTACCGTGATGCGTTTCAGGAGTCCTAAATTCAGGTTTGGCGCTGTAACGGTGGAGAATTTCAGCACTGGCAACGGCACTTCACCTTTCTTTGACATGAAATTGATGGCTCAAGTGACTGTAAAGAACACAAATTTTGGTCACTTCAAGTACGAAAACAGCACCATCATAATCTCATATGCAGGCATGCCGGTTGGGGAAGCTGCTGTTGTTAAGGGTCGAGTAAGGGCTAGGCAGACCAAAAAATTCAACGTTACAGTTGATATTAGTTCCAGGAAGTTGTCGAGCAATTCAAACCTTGGAAATGATATCGCTTCTGGTGTTTTGTCACTGAGTAGCCAGGCCAAGTTGAGCGGCAAGGTGCATTTGATGAAGGTGCTCAAGAAGAAGAAGTCTAGTGAAATGAGTTGCACCATGGGAATCAATTTAGGAACTCGTGCTGTACAGGATTTAGAGTGCAAATGACATGTCTGAAACAGTTTATTTAGATATAAATTAAATGCTTGTCTTTCAGTGTTCTCTTTCTATTTTTGTTTTTGGTCTACCCTATTATGATTTTGTACTCTGCCTCAGTTTTTCGCTAGAAATGGAAATTGATTCATATGCGTATGAAAAGTCCTCAAGTCAAGTTTGGTATACTTTCTGCACTGCACCCCCTAAGAGGGGTAAGAAAATGAAGGGTATATACAGATGCTTATGGTTTATGTAGAGTCTCTCAATTTAATACATCATACAACACGAAAACAATATTAAAAATTTCGTGTCGATATTAAAAATTATAAAAGTAGTATGGCTCAAAAATTTAGTAAAAATTATATATAAGTTTAATAAAAATATAAAATATATATTTTATATTTTTCGTGTTAATATAAATTGTATCATATAATTTTTTATATAAAATATAACATAAATTATTAATATTTTACGTAATATAAATACACAAATTCTAGTCAATGGTCAGATAAGATTTTTGTTGATTAAAGAAAATTTATTACATATCTGCAATACAGACACTAACTATTCTTGATCTTTCAAGGTCTTTTCTTTTGTATTTATTTGTGGAAAATCTAGAGAGGTCTTTATTAATCTTATCTGCCACTTGCTTTCCAGCAACCCCCCAACAATATACAGAAAGGGATAAAAAAAGACCACATCTTAGCAGAGTCTATAGAAATTTTGGCGGGATACCCATTGTTTATTGGCAGGATATTGAAAAAAGACATATCTCAAACACATTGAGAAAAGATGAGGAAAATGACTACTGATCAGTAGAACAAAACCCAACCACTTCTGGTCTTCAGCCTCTTTTTTCTATATGTTTGATGCAATTGTCAACAATTGTCTTGCTTTCAGTGATTATGTGGCACTCTAGATGGAACTGAACTTCTTATAATTTTCAGTTAATTTGTCAGGTGATAAGGATCAAACTATCCTGACTAATTCAAACCAAGTTGTCAGACGACTTTTATCCTAGATTAAGTCAAGTTGCAGAAGCCTGAGAGCAAAAGAACCATATATCCAAACAAGAGAGAAAGAGAAGGAAGTCAGAAGACAATTTAATTGCCAAAGCAGCAGAGCCATTATATTGAGGTAAAAAGTTTCTTGAAATTCTTCAAGTATGAGAAACCGCAGTCATAATCTTTTATCCCAAGTGGGGGAGAGACCAAAAGATTTTACATCTTTAGTACGATCAATACTAATTCCAGTTGGTTATCAAGAAAATATATTGGAAGTGTCATCAGTTCCGTTGTTTTACCGCTGATCAGCAGCCAGGCCCGGCCTGGTTAATTGGAAGCTGCATTAGATGAAGGTGATCTCATGAAGAAATCTGGTTTAACGTGCTGCAACATGGAAATAGATTTTTGTAGACCGTTATGTATAGGATTTCAAGCGCGAATGTGACATGTAAAACCAATTAGTTGTGCAATTGTGAGGATTTTTTATATTTATTATGCAATCAACTGATCAAAAGTCCTTAATGGCTGCTGTCTTTTCTCCATGTTTGCCAAACATATCAACTTCACTGATGCTTTTAATTAATTTTATTTATCATTTTCATTCATCATTTTTATGACTTCAGTTAAAATTTTAGGACTTAATTTTCGATAAGAAATGAAACTTCTAAGTTTTTGTCAAATATATATCGTCCAAAAACCTCAATCTTGAATATATAAATGATTTCCAATAGATAATATATTTTTCACACGCCGTACAAGCAAATTATTTCAAAATGTCTTCCTCCATTTTCATTAATATAAGCAAAATATTAAACTTAAAGAAAAGTTTCTTATATTCACCGCTACCTATTGCGTATATTAATCATACCCACAAATCCAATCCCATCATACTACTTCCAATTTCTCCAACATCACCTTTGTAATTGACCTAAAATCTTCACCTTTTACACTCTCTTCCGAGGAAAAGAGTTTCTTCACCTCAATTCTCCAAAGGCTCCAATCCTATGTACTTCCCAAAAAATTGCGCAACGAAAAATAAATAAATAAATATATGCATATTATTATCATAAAAACAATGATAAAAAACAACTCATTCATTATAAGTTTTATATTTTTGTGTTCATACTTGAAATACTATGTGTTTCTTTCAGAGGCAAACAAAAATACACTAAAATTATTATAAATTTTAACGATTATTATTTGATTGTCCGTTGTAAACAATAACTAAAAAATTCATAATTTCAGGAGACCACTTGATATTAACATTTAGTGGTAAGTTGCTAATAATTATTTACTAGATTAATGAATTAATTTATTATCTTCCTTGTTGATTGAAAAGGAAAACTTTTGAATTAAAGAAAAAAGTAATAGTATTAGAAGGAAAATGGGATGATCAATGAATTATTAGTTTAGGAACCGATTTCAAAATTGATGATTTCAAATTTCGAACCGTTAAACAAAAGAGAAAAAAAAAAAAAGGAAAAGGCATGGCGGAGAGTATGTTGCACTTGCACTCCATCTCATAGTAAAATAAATAAAAGCAGGCCCAGGTAATACATCTAGGTTGGTTTTTGTCCAATTAACAAATAGAACAGAAACTTCTATTGATATTTTAATCTCAAACTACCATTTACCAAAGTCACAAGACCATCTAGAATGAATGAAAGTCCAACTTTACACGCGTTTCATGTTTGAACAAAAAACGAGACCCACTTTGTTTCACGCCCATTTCGAGGAACCTGTCTGACAATCATTTCAATGTGTATTTCTATGTTAAATCCACCTCTCTGAATCATTATTGTGCACTATATATACATCGGCTTCCTCTGCTAAGGTTGCCATAACCTGCTCAATCCACTTCTCAATTCACTTTAGACATCAGGAGAATACTTTACGTTTTCAGTTTCCTAGCTAGTAAAGAAGAATGGCAGAGAAAGAGCATCAAGTGCATCCCCTAGCACCAGCTATAAAGCACCCGAGAAGTGACGAAGAATCAGCCTCCAGTTTGCAATCCAAAGAGCTGAAAAGAAAAAAGAGAATCAAATATGCTGTGTATATTGCTGCTTTTGCTGTGTTCCAAACTGCTGTCATCCTCATTTTTGCACTGACTGTTATGCGCGTTAAGAACCCAAAGGTTAGAATTGGAAGAGTCACCATTGAAACAATGGAAACCAATAACACCGGAGCTGCTGCTTCATTTGACCTCAAGTTCATTGCCCAAGTTACGGTAAAAAACACCAATTTTGGTCATTACAAATTTGATAACAGTACTATGACATTCCTGTATGATGGTGTAATAGTAGGGGAGGCTATTATTCCTAAGGCCAGGGCCAGAGCTCGTTCGACCAAAAAATTGGACGTCACAGTGGAAGTGAACTCCCGGGCATTGACAACCACTACAGGGCTAGACTCTGTATTGAGTTCCAATATATTGACATTGAACAGCCAGGCCAAGTTGAGAGGACAAGTGGAATTGATGAAAGTGATGAAGAAAAAGAAATCCCCAGAGATGAATTGTACCCTCACATTCAATGTGTCAACAAGGAATCTCCAAGATCTAAACTGCAATTGACAACAATAATTATGCTTAATTTGTTCTGGTTTTTTTTAATACTTACTGTATTATGTGAGAAATTATACACTGTAAGATATAATTTATTTTTGTGTGTATACGTATATCTTCTTATAGAGGATGTTATTTTACTTCATTTTTGTATTTTATGCTTATTGGTTTCGGTTCCTGCTTCCTAACATTTATGATTTTTTTTTTGGGTTGGGTCACTTGGTTGAATATGCAGGATCTGGTGCTAGAACTCCAAAGGAAGTCCAGGGCATATCATCAGGGCCCAATCTCTAGTTCATATATAAGGCCTATATTAACTTGGAATTAGATTACTTATAAAGTATAAAAAATATTAAGAGATACGTGAAAAAAATAAATTAAAAATCATTATTTTTTATGTGGACGAATTCCGATAGTGATAACATATATCATGAAAAAAAAATGTAAAAAAATAAATGATAATAGTAATAGAATATACATTAAAAAAAATTGCAAATTGAAAAATAAAAAATTGATATAATACACTATATTTATAATCTTAAATTTGTAAAAGAATTATTGATTCGTAATTAAGATTGAATAAATAATTTTTAAATTATTTTTTAAATTAAAAATAAATATAATAACTGATAAACTTGAAATTAAATTTTTTTTACATATATTTAAAATATAAATTTGATAATTAAAATTGAGAAAAATATAATACATTTGATAATTTTATTTTTTTTTAAAGATATGCAATGTTCTTCTGATAAGTTGATGTGAATCGGTTAGGACAGTTTCATCTATATCATCTGACAAATTAACTGACAATTATAGGAAGTTCAATTCAATCCATGGTGTCTCATAATTACTGAAGGTAAGATAAATGTCTGCAATTGCATCAAACAGATTGAGAAAAGATGAGGCAAATGACTACTGAGTAGAACAAAGCCCAACCAATCGTGGTCTTCAGCCTTTTTTTCTTTATGTTTGACGCAATCGCTAATAATTGTCTTACCATTAGTAATTGTGAGGCACTCTGAATGGAACTAAACTCCCTATAATTGTCAGTTAATTTTTCAGGTGATAAGAATCAGACTATCCTGACCAGTTTACTTCACAAGTTTTATCCTGGATTAAGTATTATATGTTAAAGTAGCTAAAGCATGAGAGCAAAAGAACCATATATCCAAACGAAAAAGGAAAAGGAAAGAGGGAAAGAAAGAGCAATAAGTCAAAAGACAATGTAAGTGCCAAAGCAGCAGAGCAATTATTTGAGGTCAAAAGTTTCTTGAAATTCTTCAAGTATGAGAAAGCGTAGTCACAATCTTTTTATGCCAAGTGAGGGACGCAGTCTACAAGGAAGAGAGAGACCAAAAAAGTTTACATCTGTAGTACTGTCAATACTAATTCTAGTTGGTTATCAAGCAAATATATTGGAAGTGACATCAATTCCATTGTTTTATCGCTGATCAGCAGCCAGGCCTGGCATGGTTGATTGGAAGGTGCATTAGATGAAGGTGATCTTGTGAAGAAGTCTGGTTTAATGTGCTGCAACATGGAAAAGATTTTTGTAGACCGTTATGTATATTTATCTTTCTTGTCATAATGTATAAGTTTTTAAATTTATCACTAGACACAATTTAAGAATTATCATCAATTTTTTTTGTTTAAAAAAAAATTGAAAACTTAATTCGGGTATATTTAAAAACTAAATTTTTGTCTATAAAATCAAATTAAGTTCAAGAGTACCGTTATATATTGAAAGATTATAACATCCCTAATATATCCTCAAAAGATAAGATTGTTTGTTTTTCAATGTTATCTAGTAAGCATAAAAGAATTATACAACTATTGAAATTATTCTTAATCACTCTATATATTTTGAAAAAATTAAAAGAATTTCCTCTCCCTTAAAAGATATAAAAAAATATATTTTTTCTCTGAAGAGGTTTATCATCGATTATAAACTTATTTTACTCTTTCATGATTTTCAAAAAAATAATTATTTTAAGGAAAATTTGATATTTCAACTTCTTCATAAAATTTTGAAATCGTTTGAAAGGAAATTGATATTTTAATTTTTTTTAGATTTTTAATTATTTTCCATTTTAGGAAAAAAATTATATTTTAATTTTTTTTCAAAATTTGAAAATTATTTCACCTAAGGAAAACTTGTTACCTTCAACTTTTTCACAATTTTCGAAATATTTTTTGTTGACAGGAAAATTTATATTTTAACTTTTTTTTTTCAAAAACTTTAAACTTGTTTTCATTTTAACGAAATTATTTTTTGTTTTAAGGAAAAATTAATACTTTTATTTTTTTTTTCAAAATTTGAAATTATTTTCATTTAAAGAAAAATTGATATTTCAACTTTTTTTTTAAATTTTAAAAATTTTTTTATTCTAAGGAAAATTTATTATTTTAACTTTTTTCTTACATTTTTTAAATCATTTTTGTTTTAAGAAAAATTAATATTTTAACTTTTTCCTTGAATTTTTTTGTTTAAAATAAAAAAAGTTTATCCAAAAAAAATATATAATAGGCAAAAATATTAATTTCAAAAATAAAAATAAAATAAAATAAACCAAAAATGTCTCGCCTCGACTCAATAGAAAGGATTAACTTGACTTACTTAAGAATGGCTTAGAGTCCTAGTAGCTTGACTTGCACGACTCACAATTGACTAGAGGTTTAGAGTGAATCGTAATGAGATCAGGTTAAAAAAGGAGTTAACGCACAAATCCTTTAGACAACCCGAAATCTTATTCTCTCATGAATAACGTCATTTTTTATGTCTTTAAATACTCAAATCAAAATTTTTTACTTCATTTTTTAACTCTCTTTTCTTCTTCCCTTATTTTTTTATTTTCCTCTCTCTAGACTAATATACCAAAAACTTGGGAATTACGTCGAAAATTGGAAAATGGTGCTAGAAATTGAAAAATAACGTTGAAAACTTCAAAAATTTATTAAAAAATTCATCTTTATCCAAAAATTCAAAAATAATTCAAAACAAAAAAGTCAAATTTTGACTCATTTTATTTTCCTTCAATTCCTGTCATTCAAACACACTTTCGAACTAAACCCCAAGCTTCAATAAACTACTCAAAAATTTCAATAACTGTTGAAGAATTTTTCTCACTGCTTATTTTTCTACCTTTTTCTCTTTATGTTCCTCCCACTGATATTGATCTTGTTCGGTTTATATATAGATTAAATTTCAATTTCAAATGGATTTAACCCAAATTTTCTCAAATTTCAAAACTCTCATTATCTCATCCATTTTAAAAATTTTCTTCTTATTGTCTTTTTTGCTATTTTCTTTTTTTACAGAAACATATGAAATAAAATTTAAAAAAATTAGGCTTCTAGACAACCTAAAATAATATAACCCCAAAATATCATGGCCTAAAACATAACTTAGGCTTAAATAATATATCTAAAAATCAAATTTTAAGCGCAATTCTTATTAATAAGTCTAAGAATTTTAAAAATTTTAGATTAAATATAGCATCTACATTTTTCTTTCCTCATCTTTATGATTTTAGCTAAAATTTTAGGAATTAATTTTCCATGAAAGTCTTCTAAGTTTTTTGTCAAATATATATATTCTTCAAAAACCTCAATCGTGAATATATAAATGACTGATAATAGATAATATATTTTTTACATACCGTACAAGTAAATTAATTCAAAGTAAGGTCAGTAATTCAATTCGTCTCCGACGGGTTTCGATTCAATCCGACCTCATAAAGTCGATTTTTTATTTTTTTAAAAATCGAGTTTCGGGTTGGATTGAATATTGCTAAAAAAAAATCATGATCGGGTCAGATTCAGGTTTTAGGCAAACTTGACCCGACCAGATATTTATATAAAAATTAATTTTTAATTAATTATTTAATTTATATATATTTATATAATTATATAATTAAATATTTACATTTAAAAAATAATATTTTTATATTTTTAAAAAATAATATTTTATTAATTTTAGATTAGGTCGGATCAGATCGAGTACAATTTATACAATATCGAATCGGATCGAGATCGAATATAAAAAAAATATAAAAAATTCGAGTAATGTCGAGTCAAGTTTAAGTTTGATAAATACAAAATCTGATCGAATTCGAAACGAATAAAAATTTGTTCCACCCCAACTCGTTGTCATCCTTATTCAAAGTGTCTTCCTCCATTTTCATTAATATAAGCAAAAAATAAAACTAAATGCAAAGTTTTCTTATATTCACCGCTACCTATTAATAATAAAGCTTAAATATATTAATAATACCCACAAATCTGGTCCCACCACACTCCTTTCATTTTCCCCAACATCACCGTTGTAATTGACCTAAAAATATTTTCCCTTGACACTCTCTTATAAGGAATAGTGTTTCTTCACCTTAAATGTCCAAAGTCTCTTATCCTATGTACTTAAAAAAAAAATGCCCAAAAAAATAAATAAATGTATGTATATCATTACAATAAACAGAAATGATAAAACTTAGCTCATTCATTTTAATTTGTATATACTTACCTTCATGCTTGAAATGTTATGTGCTTGTTTCAAGGCAGACAAGAAATAGGACTCAAATTACTACGAATTTTAATAATTATTATTTGATTACCGGTTGTAAATAAAAAAAAAAATTCATATTTCAGAAAAAACTCTTGAAATTAATAATTTAGTATAGTATGCTAATAATTATTTACTAGAATCATGAATTAATTTATTATCTTCCTTATTGGTTGAAAAGGAAAACTTTTTAATTAAAGAAAAAAAGGTAAATCAATGCATTATTTATTAGTTTAGGAACGAAATTCAAAATTGACGATTTCGAATTTCGGACCGTTAACCAAAAAGACAAAAAAAAAAAAAGGCATGGCGGAGAGTACGTTGCACTCCGTCTCATAGGCCCAGGGAAAGTATGTAGGATGGTTTTAGTCCAATTAAAAAATAGAACAGAAACTTCTATTGATATTTTAATCTCAAACTACCGTTTACCAAAGTCACGAGACCATCTAGAATGAATGTCAGAAAGTCCAACTTTACATGCGTTTCGTGTTTGAACAAAAAAGGAAACCCACTTTGTTTCACTCCCATTTCGAGGAACCTGTCTGACAATCTTTTCACTATGTATTTCTATGTTAAAGTAAATTCACCTGTGAGAATCATTATTGTGTACTACATATATATGGGCTTCCTCTGCTAAGGTTGCCATAACCTGCTCTTTCCGCTTCCTCAATTTAGCTTAAACATTAAGAGAATACTTATTTTGTTTTCAGTTTCCTAGCTAGTAAAGAAGAATGGCAGAGAAAGAGCAGCAAGTGCATCCCCAAGCACCAGCTGATAAGCATCCGAGAAGTGATGAAGAATCAGCCTCCAGTTTGCAATCCAAAGAGCTGAAAAGAAAAAAGAGAATCAAATATGCTGTGTATATTGCTGCTTTTGCTGTGTTCCAAACTGCTGTCATCCTGGTTTTTGCACTGACAGTTATGCGCGTTAAGAACCCAAAGGTGAGAATTGGAAGAGTCACCATTGAAACAATGGAATCCAATAACACCGGAGCTGCTGCTTCATTTGACCTCAAGTTCATTGCCCAAGTTACGGTAAAAAACACCAATTTTGGTCATTACAAATTTGATAACAGTACTATGACATTCCTGTATGATGGTGTAAGAGTAGGGGAGGCTATTATTCCTAAGGCCAGGGCCAGAGCTCGTTCGACCAAAAAATTGGACGTTACAGTGGAAGTGAACTCCAGGGCATTGACAACCACTGCAGGACTAGACTCTGAAATGAGTTCCAATGTATTGACATTGAACAGCCAGGCCAAGTTGAGAGGACAAGTGGAATTGATGAAAGTGATGAAGAAAAAGAAATCCCCAGAGATGAATTGTACCCTCACATTCAATGTGTCAACAAGGAATCTCCAAGAGCTAAACTGCGAGTGACAATAATAATTATGCTTAATTTGTTCTGGATTTTTTTTATTACTTACCGTATTATGTGAGACATTATACACTGTAATATATAATTTTATTTTTGTATGTATACGTACATCTTCTTATACAGGATGTCATTTTATTTCATTTTTGTATTTTATGCTTACCGTTTTTGGTTCTTGCTTCTTTTTCTTTAACATTTATGATTCTTGCTTTTTTTTTTGGTTGGGTCACTTGGTTGAATATGCAGGATCTGGTGCTAGACTTCAGGGCGAACCATCAGGGCCCAATCCCAGATTCATATATAAGGCCTATAAACATGGAATTAAATGACTGAACAAAATATGAAAAATATTATAAGATATATGAAAAAAAAGATTAAAAAAATATCATTTTTTTATAAGAATGAAATTGTAATAGTGATAAAATATATCATGAAAAAAAGTTGTAAACAAAAAAAATAAATTTAAATTGTAATAAAATATATCTTGAAAATGTTACAAATCAAAAAAATAAAAAACTGATATAATATATTATATTTATAGCTTTAAATTTATAGAGAAATTATTGATTGGCAATTAAGATTGAATAAATAATTTTTAAATTAAGTTTTTTAAATTTAAAAGTAATATGATGAGTGATAAAGTTGAAATCGAATTTTTTGCTTATACTTAAAATGTAAATTAGATAATTAAAGTTAAGATGAATATAATACTTTGGATAGTTTTCTTACCTTAAATATTTAATATGAAAGTTCATCTGATAAGTTGGTGTGAATTAGTCTGCTAAAGCCTAAGAGCAAAAGAACCATGTGACATCAATTTCAGTGTTTTGTAGCTAATCAGCAGCCTGACCACGCTTGCTGTCACGGGTTATGCTTTTTCTCAATTAAGCAATAGACCGTGTGGCATTTGAATGGACGCTTCTACTCAAGTCAACTAAAGATAGCTCAATATCTGAACAAGAAACCAAAAAGCCATAAGTCAGTTTCAAGCATACATAACAACATATCGGGGCAAAATGGGAACACACCAAGGTGATCTCGGCGTTCTTGCATATATAAAAAAATAATTTTATTAATATAAAGAAAAGTACATTGAATCTTCCCATCATCGTTGGGCCAGAGAGGTAGCCCTAGATGGGTGATCTAATACATACTTTAACCAGTGAGGTAACCCAACAATAAGCCAACTGCTCACCATCTCTAAAGAGCAAATGAGATTTTATAGCTATATTACATATAACCGTTACAATGCTTAAAATAGGGACACTTTTCCTAGCACATGAGATCTACCCTCCCCTTTGGCACCTCTACCCAATCATGGCCCTATACATGAGTGGCTCATGATAACCTATACCAAGTCATAACCCTATACAAGGTTGGCTCATGATAACCTATACCCAGTCATGACCCTATACAAGGTTGGCTCATGACATCCTCCATCACCTAATATGTCGACGTCCTTGTCGACTTGGCTTGAAATTTTTTAATCTTCTGCTTGAATGCTTGGAGGTCATAGTCTTTTTCCCAACTAGTTTCCTCTAGTCTTAAGCCATCCCACTTCATTAAATATTCATGAATTATTCTTCGAGATACACAAAATACCCTGTCAGCTAAAATCTCTTTAACTTAACATTCAGATGGTGGCTTCATGGTGATGGCAGCCCTGGTTGACTCCTTACGGCTTGCACCTGTGGGATCTGCATGGAACAACTTTAAGTTGCTTACATGAATATGGATGTATCTTTATCTATTTTGGCGGGTCAATTTTATAAGAGGCATTCTTCACCTTAGAAAGAATCTTCACTAGACCTTTATATTTACAAACTAACCTACTATCTTACTTATTTAAGAACCTAATTTGTTCAGGCGTTAGTCTGACAAGAATAAGATCACCAACTTTGAATTATTGTACCTTTTAACCTTTATTTGCCCATTTTTTCATGCTCTTCGATGCTTTCTCCAAGTAGGCTTATGTAATTTTTGTATTTTGTCTCCATTATTTGCTAAGGTTGAATGCCTGTGGATTTTTTTCTCCATACAATTCAAGGGATGTATGTGGTAGTCTTGATAGTTATCCTGTGACCACTTCAAATGGACTTTTGTTTGTGGAAGAACATATGTTGGAATTAAAACAAATTTAAGCTACATCCAATAATGAAGGTCAATTCTTCTAAATAGCTTGAACAAAGTGTCTCAAGTACTCTTCCAACAAACCATTAAATCGTTCAGTTTGACCATTAGTTTGCGAGTGATAACTCGAAGAGATGTTGAGTTGGGATCTTAAAATCTTGAAAAGTTTTCTCTAGAATGACTCAGTGAATCTCAGATCCCTATCACTAACAATGTTTTGAGGAAAGCCTTAATACTTAATTATATGTTTAAACATCAGTCAGACTGTGTTTTCCATAGTGCAATACTTTTAGGTGGGAATGAACGTGACATATTTCGAGAAACGATCAATCACCACCAGAATAGACCCAAAATCACCAACTTTAGGACAACCTGATACGAAGTCAAGGGGGATACTTTCCCAATGTCTAGTGGGCACAGGTAGTGGTTCAAGGAAGCTTACTAGTTTTTTTTTTTTTCAACTTTGTTCTGTTGGCAAATAAGACAAGTCTTAGTATAATTCATCACATCTTGCCACATATAAGGCCAATAATAGTCTTGTTTTAGTAGAGCCAAAGTATGTTGCCAACCAGGATGACCCACTCATAGTGTGTTATGGCATTCCGTCATTAGTATTTGCTACTTGATTGGTTTTTCTAGCTGTGTGCTCGAAACAAAATTTAAATTCGATGAGAAATTCTTGCCATCTAGCTTGTTTAGCCGTGAGCCTTGACTGGATGAGAAAATGACTAACTGTCGTATTATCCATCTTCACAACGAATTGTGAACCTAACAAATAATGTCGCCATGTTCTTAGACAATGAATTACTGCTACGAGTTCCTTCTCTTGAGCTATATATCTTCTTTCAGCTTCACTCAACTTTCGACTTTCAAAGGTTATCGGATGTCTTGCTTATATGAGTACTCCCCTAATAGTAAAATCAAATGCATTCATTTGAACTTCAAAAAGCTTCGCAATGTTAGAGAGAGCCAAGATATGATCTTTCATCATAGCTTCTTTCAATCTTTCAAAAGTCTCTTAACATTCATTTGTCCAACACCATTTATGTTTTTTTTTCAATAGCTCTATGAGGGCCGTGATTCCACGAAAGTACTCTTCCATAAATCTCTTCTAATAATTGGCTAATCCCAAAAATGAACGAAGTTTACTGACATTCTTTGGTGTTACCCACTCCTTGATAACCTTAACTTTTCTCATGTTCATTCGAATGTGACCTAAAAAGTGGATTCATGTCTAAGCAAATGCACATTTCTTTTTTTAACATATAATTGGTGATCTTGTAGTCTTTAAAATATACGACATAGGTGCTCTTGATGCTCTTCTAGGGTAGAACTATAGACCGCTATATCATCTAAATAAATGACCACAAACTTGTCAAGGTAGTCATGAAACACTTGATTCATCAAAGTACAAAATGTGGCAGGGGCATTAGTCAATCCAAAAGGCATAACAAGAAATTCGAATGCACCATACTACGTTACATAAGTGGTCTTTAGCTTATCTCTTTCAGCAATTCTGACCTGATGATAACCAGATCTTAAGTCCAATTTAAAGAAGTATTTGGCCTGACTTAGTTGATCAAATAAATCCATAATAAGTGGGATATGATATTTGTTCTTCACAGTAACTTTGTTCAAGGACCTATAGTCCACACACAATCGTAAACTCCCATCATGCTTTTTTTAAAATAGTACAGGCATTTCAAATGATGCTTTTGATGGTCTAATAAACCCAGCTTGTAAAAGCTTATCTAATTATTTTCTCAATTTAGCCAACTCTAGCGAAGCCATGCAATAGAGAGCTTTAGCTGGTAGCTTGACTCCTGAAAAAAGCTCAATCTCATGGTTCACTAATCTTCAAAGAGATAGGACTTTGAGTAATTATTCCGACATCACACTTTTAAATTCTTCTAATACTTTTTTCACCTTATTAGGTACGTCTTCCAACTCAATCCTTTCTTTATAGATTGGCATGGCCATATAGGAGGACTCTCCTCTCTTTATCTTTTTCTTAAATTGTAAGGTTGAAATCATTTTCTTCCTATTCTTATGAAGGATCGTGGCTGATACAACACACGAGCGTTCTTCCAAAATAATAGACAACTAGCAACGGAGATTGGGATTGCCTGAGCTAACTTTATGAAGTTTAATCCTAAAACAACATCAAAATCATCCATGAGAAAGATCGTGAAGTCTACATTTTCTTTCTATGGCCTCAACTTGATCATCACACTCTTAGAACTCTCACTGATCATAAAAGCTAATGAATCAATCGCTTTTATTTATCCACAGTCCTTATTAACCTTGAGACCACATCTCTTTGCTTTCTCTGGTGTGATGAAGGTATCGATTGTGTCTGTATCTACTATGGCCTTGGTGTTCTTCCTATTTACTATCAGGTCCACATACATTAAACCTCTTTCAGGTTCTTTCTTTATTATGTTTAGTTAAGTACGAATGGCATTAAGGAATCATATTGAGCCCATCTTGGTTGGCTCTTTTGTAACTTATTAACTTATTCGATTATCTCGGACACATTAGTGGACTCTTGAGATAAGACTCTCAAACATTAAGGGCACCTATATGTGGGCATTTGATCACCCGATGCAGGCCCTGGCATAGAAAACAAGTTAGTGGTTACCTCGATTTGAAAAATAATGCATTATTTGCCTGGGTTGGGTATTGTGTCAACCAAAAAGCCTCCTATTAAATCCTTCACTAAAGGGTCAGTTCACTCAAGCCATTTTTCTCTCATTTCCAAAGTTGGAGTTATTGCCACCTGATGAAGGATTTTTTTGTTTTAAGAGACTATCATCAAAATCGTGAAGACGTTCAGTAGTAGCCGTGGCAGTGGCCACATCTTGCACTTTCTGTCTTTGTAATTCTGCCTTGGCCCAAAGTTTGAAACCTTCAAGACAATAAAATATTTTGTCCTTTTCGGATATATCTCTAATGTCCAACATCAGGGTAGAAAAATTTCTTACAAACTCTCTTACCATTCAAATTTTCACTAATTCTCGAAGCCTCCTTCAGGCTATATACTCCACATTCCAAAAAAAAATTGGTTCTTTAATTCTTGCTTAAGATTTGCTCAAGTTTTAATAAGGCATTTGTCATTTACAAATTTTGAACGCCACCACAACTTGGCATCACCATCAAGGCACATTGAAGCCATTGTAACCTTATTCTTCTTTGATTTCATGTGCACAGCTTAAAAGTATTGTTCCATGTCAAACAAGCTCTTTGGCATCTCTTGCCCCCTCATAACATCTAGGCTCTAGCACCTTGGCCTTTTTCTTTTTTTCATCGAGCTAGAATCTGACCTCGCCATAGCCATTCGCAAAATACTCAATTGAGCTTTGAGCTCCTCAAACTCTCTCTGGAAGACATTCAAAGTATCTCTGATCTTTTCGTCCAAGTTATGTAGAGTATCGAATAACTCCCGTTGGATTGTCTCGATCTCCCTCAATCGATCATTAGTTACCATATAAGCTTTTAAGGCAGCCACCGTGGCCTCAAACTCCTTAATTCTCTATTGTTCACTAAATCCATCACTCGTTGGCATTTTATCAATTCTCTAGCACTTCTCAATCATGCTCTGATATCACATGTCACGGGCTATGCTTTCTTCAATTAAGTAATAGAACCTACGGCACTTTAATGGACGTTTCCACCCAAGTCAATCAAAGATAGCTCGATATCTAAACAAGAAACCAAAAAGTCATAAGTCAGTCTCAAGCATACATAACAACATATCGGGGCAAAATGGGAGCACACCAAGGTGACCTCGGTGTTCCTGCATATATAAAAGAATATATTTTATTAATATCAAGAAAAGTATTTTGAGTCTTCTCATCATCATCGGGCCAGAGGGATAGCCTTAGATGAGTGATCTAATACATACCTTGACCAATTAGACAACCCAACAATATATCAACTGCTCACCCCCTCTAAAGAGCAAATGAGATTTTATAACTATAACTGTTACAATGCTTGAAATTGTGACATTTTTTCTAGCACATGAGATCTACCCTCCTGTTGGCACCTTTATCTAGTCATGGTCTTATACATGGATGATTCATGATAACTTATAACCAATCATGACCCTATATAAGGTTGGCTCATGACACTTGACTTGGTTGATTGGAAGGTGCATTAGATGAAGGTGACCTCATGAAGAAGTCCGGTTTAATATGCTGCAACATGGAAATAGATTTTTATAGACAGTTATGCAAAGGATTTGAAGCGCGAATATGACATGTAAATCCAATTATTTGTGCAACTGTGGGTATTTTTAAAATTTACTATGTAATAAACTAATTAAAATCCTTAATGGCTGCGGTCTTTTCTCCATGTTCAGCAACATATCAACTTCTCTGATACTTTACATTAATCTTATTTATCATTTTCATTCATCATTTTTGTGAATTCAGTTAAAATTTTAGGACTTAATTTTTGAAGAAAAACTTCTAATTTTTGTCAAATATATATCATCCAAAAACCTCAATCTTGAATATCTAAATGGTTGCCAGTAGATATATACTTTCCATATGCCGTACAAGCAGATTATTTCAAAATATCTTCCTCCATTTTCATTAATATAAACCCAAAAAAAAAAAAGTTGAAGAAAATATTTCTTATATTCACCGCTACCTATGGTATATTAATAATACCCATAAATCCAGTCCCACCATACTCCTTCCCATTTCTCCAACATCACCTTTGTATGTGACCTAAAATCTTCACTTTTTACATTCTCCTCCGAGGAAAATAGTTTCTTCACCTCAAATGTTTGAAAGTCTCCAATCTTATTTACTTCCCAAAAAAGTTGCCCAATGAAAGAGAAATAAATATATGCATATTATTATCATAAACAGAAATGACAAGACATAATTCATTTATTCTAATTTTTATATTTTTATCTTCATACTTGGAATGCTACGTTGTTTTTTTCATAGGCAAACAAAAAGGAGGACTAAAATTATTAAAAAATTTAACAATTATTATTTGATTGTCCGTTGTAAATAACAAGTAAAAAATTCATAATTTCAGAAAAATTCTTGAAATTAACATTTAGTGGTAAGTTGCTAATAATTATTTATTAGATTAATGAATTAATTTATTATCTTTCTTGTTGGTTGAAAAGGAAAACTTTTGAATTAAAGAAGAAACTAATAGTATTGAACAGAAAATGACATAATTAATTAATTATTAGTTTATGAACGAATTTCAAAATCGATGATTTCAATTGCGAACCGTTAAACAAAAGGGAAAAAAATGGCATGGCGGAGAGTATGTTGCACTCCATCTCACAACAACATAAATAAAAAATAGGCCCAGGTAAAATATGTAGGATGGTTTTAGTCCAATTAACAAATAGAACAGAAACTTCTATTGATATTTTAATCTCTAACTACCATTTACCAAAGTGACGAGGCCATCTAGAATGAATGTCAGAAAGTCCAACTTTACACGCGTTTCTTGGTAGAACAAAAAATGAGATCCACATTGTTTCACTCCCATTTCGAGGAACCTGTCTGACAATCTTTTCATCATGTATTTCTATGTTAAATTCACCTGTGTGAATCATTATTGTGTACTATATATATATCGGCTTCCTCTGCTAAGGTTGCCATAACCTGCTCTGTCCGCTTCCTCAATTTAGCTTAAACATTAGGAGAATCCTTATTTTGTTTTCAGTTTCCTAGCTAGTAAAGAAGAATGGCAGAGAAAGAGCAGCAAGTGCATCCCCTAGCACCAGCTGACAAGCACCCGAGAAGTGATGAAGAATCAGCCTCCAGTTTGCAATCCAAAGAGCTGAAAAGAAAAAAGAGAATCAAATATGCTGTGTATATTGCTGCTTTTGCTGTGTTCCAAACTGGTGTCATCCTGGTTTTTGCATTGACTGTTATGCGCGTTAAGAACCCAAAGGTGAGAATTGGAAGAGTCACCATTGAAACGATGGAAACCAATAACACCGGAGCCGCTGCTGCTTCGTTTGACCTCAAGTTCATTGCCCAAGTTACGGTAAAAAACACCAATTTTGGTCATTACAAATTTGATAACAGTACTATGACATTCCTGTATGATGGCGTAATAGTAGGGGAGGCAATTATTCCTAAGGCCAGGGCCAGAGCTCGTTCGACCAAAAAATTGGACGTCACAGTGGAAGTAAACTCCAGGGCATTGACAACCACTACAGGGTTAGAATCTGAACTGAGTTCCAATTTATTGACATTGAACAGCCAGGCGAAGTTGAAAGGACAAGTGGAATTGATGAAAGTGATGAAGAAAAAGAAATCCCCAGAGATGAATTGTATCCTCACATTCAATGTGTCAACAAGGAATCTCCAAGATCTAAACTGCAAGTGACAACAATAATTATTGCTTAATTTGTTCTGGTTTTTTTGAATACTTGCTGAATTATGTGAGAAATTATACACTGTAACATATAATTTATTTTTGTGTGTATACGTATATCTTCTTATAGAGGATGTCATTTTACTTCGTTTTTGTATTTTTTGCTTGCTGGTTTTGGTTCCTGCTTCCTATTCTTTAACATTAATGATTTTGTTTTTTGGGGGGTTGGGTCACTGGGTTGAATATGCAGGATCTGGTGCTAGAACTCCAAACGAAGTCCAGGGCTTATCATCAGGGCCCAATCCCAAGTTCACATATAAGGCCTATACTAACTTGGAATTAAATTACTTATAAAATATAAAAAATATTAAGAGATATGTGAAAAAAAATAAATTAAAAAATATTATTTTTTATATGGACGAATTCCAATAATGATAACATATATCATGAAAAAAATTGTAAAAAAAAAAAAATAATAGTAATAAATATACTTTAAAAAATATTATAAAATGACAAATAAAAATTAATATAATATATTACATTTATAGTATTTAATTTATAAAAGAATTATTGATTGGCAATTAAGATTGAATAAATAATTTATAAATTAAAAATAAATATAATAAGTGATAAAATTGATCATAAATTTTTTGTATTTATTTAAAATATAAATTTGATAATTAAAGTGGAGATAAATATAATACATTTGATAATTTTATTATTTTAAAATTTTAATATAAAAAGTTCTTCCGACAAGTTGATGTAAATTGGTTAGGACAGTTTCATCTATATCATTTGACAAATTAACTGACCATTATAGGGAATTCAGTTTAATTCAGAGTGTCTCATAATTACTGAAGGTAAGATAAATGTCTGCAATTGCATCAAACAGATTGAGAAAAGATTAGGAAAATGACTACTGAGTAGAACAAAGCCCAACCAATCGTGGTTTTCAGCCTTTTTTTCTATATGTTTGACGCAATCGCTAACAATTGTCTTACCTTTAGTAATTACGAGGCACTCTAAATGGAACTAAACTCTCTATAATTGTCAGTTAATTTTTCAGGTGGTAAGAATCAAACTATCCTGACCGGTTTACTTCACAAGTTTTATCCTAGATTAAGTACTATATGTTAAAGTAGCTAAAGCATGAGAGCAAAAGAACCATATATCCAAACAAAAAAGGAAAAGAAAATAGAGAAAGAAACACCAATAAGTCAAAAGACAATGTAACCGCCAAAGCAGCAGAGCAATTACATTGAGGTCAAAAGTTTCTTGAAATTCTTCAAGTATGAGAAAGCGTAGTCATAACCTTTTATGCCAAGTGAGGGACGCAGTTCACAAGGAATAGAGAGACCAAAAAATTTTACATCTGTAGTACTGTCAATACTAATTCTAGTTGGTTATCATCAATTCCATTGTTTTATCGCTGGTCAGCAGCCAGGCCTGGCCTGGTTGATTGGAAGGTGTATTCGATGAAGGTGATCTTATGAAGAAGTCTGGTTTAATGTGCTGTAACATGGAAAAGATTTTTGTAGACCGTTATGTATAGGATTTGAAGCGCGAATATGACATGTAAAACCAATTATTTGTGCAACTGTGGGGATTTTTTTTATCTACTATATATGTAATCAAATGATTAAAAGTCCTTAATGGCTGCTTCTTTTCTCCATGCTTGGCAACAAACCAACTTCACTTATGCTTTTAGTCAATTTTTTTTTTTTTTTTGTCATAATGAATAAGCCTTTAAACTTATCACTAGACATAATTTAGGAATCATCATCAATTTTTTTTTTGTTTAGATATAATTGATTATCTAACTAAATCTATCTTATTTAAAATTTCAAACTTAATTTGGATATATTTTAAAACTATATTCTTGTCTATGAAATCAAACTAAATTTAATAATACGGTTACATATTAAAAGGTTATAACACATTTGTAACATCCATTGAAAGATGAAATTAGTTGTTTTTATGTTATTCACTAAGCCCTAAAAGAATTACACATATTGAAAATTATTTTTAATCAACTCTAATATTTTGATAGAAATTTAAAAGAATTCCCTTCCCTTAAAAGTATATAAGAAAATAATTATTTCTCTTGAAAAAGCTTTATTACCAGATTATTTAACACTTATTTTATCTTTTATGAATTTTCAAAAACATAATTAATTTTTTTAAAAAAATTGATATTTCAACTTCTTCATAAAATTTTGACAATCGTTTGTAAAGGAAAATTGATATTTTTATTTTTTTTCATATATTTTAAATTATTTTCATTTTAAGGAAAAATTGATATTTTAATTTTTTTTCAAAATTTGAAATTATTTTTTGCTTTAAGGAAAACTTGTTACTTCAACTTTTTTCCCAATTTTTGAAATTATTTTGTGTTTGATGAAAAATTTTATATTTCAACTTTTTTTCAAAAACTTTAAATTTGTTTTCATTTTAAGGAAATTATTTTTCATTTTAAGGAAAAATTAATACTTTTGCTTTTTCTTCAAAATTTGAAATTATTTTCATTTAAAGAAAAATTGATGTTTCAACTTTTTTCTTAAATTTTAAAATTATTTTTTATTCTAAGGAAAAATTATTATTTTAACTTTTTCCTTACATTTTTTAAATCATTCTTCTTTTAAAAAAAATTAATATTTTAACTTTTTCTTTGATTTTTATTATTTGAAATAAAAAAAGTTTATCCAAAAAAATAAATAATAGGTAAAAATATTAATTTAAAAAATAATAAATACTAAAAATACCAAAAATGTCTTACCTCGACTCAATAGAAAGGATTGGCTTGACTCAAGACTCAAGGATGGCTTAGAAGCTTGGGAGCTTGGCTTGCAAAGCTCACAATCAACTTGAGGTCTAGAGTGAATCGCAACGAGGTCAGGCTAAAAAAAGAGCTAACGCACAAATCCTTTAAATGATCTGACAGCTTTGTTCTCCCATGAACAACATCATTTTTTATGTCTTTAAATACTCAAATCAAAATTTTTTACTTCATTTTCCAGCTCTCTTTTCTTCTCTTCTTATGTCTCTGTCTTCCTCTCTCTCTCTAGACTAATGTACCCAAAAATGGGAATTTACATCAAAATTGGAAAATGGTGCCTGAAATTGAAAAATAATGCCGAAAACTTCAAAATTTCATTAAAAAATTCATCTTTTTCCAAAAATTCAAAACAAAAAAGTCAAATTTTGACTCATTTTAGTTTCCTTCAACTCCTATCCTTTAAACTAAACCCCAAGCTTTAATAAACTACTCAAAAATTTCTATCACTGCTAAAGAATTTTCCTCTCTGATTATTGTTTCTACTTTTTTCTCACTATATTCCTCCTACTGATATTGATTTTGTTCGGTTTATATAGAGATTAAATTTTGGTAGAAATTAAATTGATAATTTAAACTTGCACCTCATCTACTCATCTATTTTCAGTTTCAAATGGGTTTAATCCAAATTTTCCCAAATTTCAAAACTCTCATTATCCCATCCTTTTTTAATTTTTCTTCATTTTATCCTTTTCGCTTTTATTTTTATTTTTTTTATCAAAACATATGAAATAAAGTTTAAAAAAATTAAGCTTTTAGACAACCTAAAATAATATAGCCCCAAAACATCATGGCGTAAAACACGATTCAGACTTAAATAATATATCTAAAAATCTAATTTTAAGCCCAATTTTTATTAATAAGTTTAAAAATTTTAAAAATTTCAAATTAAATATAGTATTTACATATTTCATTCATCATCTTTATGATTTCGACTAAAATTTTAAGACTTAATTTTCGATGAAAATCTTCTAAGTTTTTTGTCAAATATATATCGTTCAAAAACCTCAATCCTGAATATATAAATGACTACCAATAAATATATAATATATTTTCCAAACGCCGTACAAGCAAATTATTTCAAAGTGTCTTTCTCCATTTTCATTAATAGAAGCAAAATATAAAACTTAAAAGAAAAGTTTTCTTACATTCACCGTTACCTATTAAGTATATTAATAATACCCACAAATCCGGTCCCACCACACTCATTTCAATTTCTCCAACATCACCTTTGTAATTGACCTAAAATATTCTCCTTTTACACTCTGTTATGAGGAAAAGAGTTTCTTCACCTCAAATGTCCAAAGTCTCCGATCCTATGTACTTTCCCAAAAAATTGCCCAACAAAGAATAAAATAAATAAATATATGTATTTATGTATGTATATCATTACAATAAACAGAAACGATAAAACCTAATTCATTCATTTTAATTTGAATATATTTGCCTTTATGCTTGAAATGTTATGTGATTGTTTCAAGGCAGACAAGAAATAGGACTCAAATTACTACGAATTTTAATAATTATTATTTGATTACCGGTTGTAAATAACAAGTAAAAAATTCATAATTTCAGAAAAAAAACTCTTGAAATTGATATTTAGTGATAAGTTGCTAATAATTATTTACTAGATTAATGAATTAATTTATTATCTTCCTTATTGGTTGAAAAGGAAAACTTTTTAATAAAAGAAAAAAAGGTAAATCGATGAATTATTTATTAGTTTAGGAACGAAATTCGAAATTCATAATTCATAATTTCGGACCGTTAACCAAAAGAGGAAAAAAAAAAAGGCATGGCGAAGAGTATGTTGCACTCCATCTCATAGGCCCAGGTAAAATAGGTAGGATGGTTTTAGTCCAATTAACAAATAGAACAGAAACTTCTATTGATATTTTAATCTCTAACTACCATTTACCAAAGTCACGAGGCCATCTAGAATGAATGCCAGAAAGTCCAACTTTGCACGCTTTCCATGTTAGAACAAAAAATAAGATCCACTTTGTTTCACTCCCATTTCGAGGAACCTGTCTGACAATCATTTCATTATGTATTTCTATGTTAAATCCACCTCTCCGAATCATTATTGTGTACTATATATATATCGGCCTCCTCTGCTAAGGTTGCCATAACCTGCTCGGTCCACTTCCTCAATTCAGCTTAAACATTAGGAGAATACTTATTTTGTTTTCAGTTTCCTAGCTAGTAAAGAAGAATGGCAGATAAAGAGCAGCAAGTGCATCCCTTAAAACCAGCTGACAAGCACCCGAGAAGTGATGAAGAATCAGCCTCCAGTTTGCAATCCAAAGAGCTGAAAAGAAAAAAGAGAATCAAATATGCTGTGTATATTGCTGCTTTTGCTGTGTTCCAAACTGCTGTCATCCTGGTTTTTGCACTGACTGTTATGCGCGTTAAGAACCCAAAGGTGAGAATTGGAAGAGTCACCATTGAAACAATGGAATCCAATAAC